GAAGTTTTGGGCCAAACAAGTACAATAATAATAATAATACCTGATGGTTGGAAAAAGATTTTCACAAGGTTTCAAGTGCTTTCAACTGAAAAGTTAAAAAAATACTTAATTTTTTATTGCGTTTTCAACGTTTTCCTGTTTTTTAACAAATTCATTCTCAATTTGCCAAAAAGCTTAGAGAGAAATGAAAAAGGTTTTAGTTCACACATACTTTGACAGAATACATTTTTCTTTACATTTTTACAAATTGCTCACGAGAGCATTACACATAAATTACAGTGAACATGATACAAAGTACTATCATTTTTTTTGGTTTATTATAATATCCGGAGGTATTAAACTGCAGAATTTTTCTTTGGCTCTTCTTGTCTCGGACTCACTGTCACTTTCGATAGTTACTCGGGCTTTGTAATCACTGGAAGCAATGTAATTTATTCGTTTTCATTGTTACAAAAGAAGCAATTTGCATTTAGAAAATTTTTTCATCCTAATACCTGGCGTTTTCAGGGTAAGAACCAAATATCACATTTGGAAATTCTTCAGCAACTTTGGTCAAAGCATTTGCAAAGGTTTCTTCATAAGCATTGAGGTATAATTCCAAGTGTACAAAGCGATTGTTTGAATCGAACAAGATCTAAAAAAATCATAATTGCCATTATTTCATGACTGGTTAAATAAATATTTTTTGATCTTAAATACCCTATATAAACTTTCAAATCCTATTTGAAGGTAAACAGGTGATCCAGGAAAAACGTAGACGTTTTTTAATATTACGCACGGAAAATTTAGTGGTAGGCAGGTATCTTTGTGGACACCAAATTTCAAAACTGCTCTTTTAGGTATCTAAAAAAATTAATTTTTTTTTTTTTTTTAATAAGTCATAGTTCTTAAAATATTTATAAATATAGTGTCATTACATGTGCTAATTTGTATGTAGGGGATGAGAGATCTTTAGCTCCAAAATATGACCTAATAATTTCTGCCAATGTGGGATGACAATGCAAAGTGTCTCCAAAAGCTTTAGCTAAACCTACAAGATGCACATAATTTTTAAATTAATAAGTGGACAATTACTATTATTACCTTTATATTACTTCATTATCATAATTATTACCTTCATAAGTGACATCATCATGAGTCGGTCCAATGCCACCTGATGTGATGACATGGGTGTATTTTTCAGAGAACTCCTTGATCTCTTGTGCAATAACATCAACATTGTCAGGTACAACTGAAATCTTAGATGAATGGTAATTTCTGTTGGCACATACTTACAATCTAGGTTTATGTTACCTATACAATTGACCTACAGCAATGTCAACTAACTTTTTCAACTTTAACTCCACAGCGATAGAGGCGTTTGCAAATAAAGTGTGAATTTGTTTCCTTCACTTGTGCCTTAAGTATTTCATTTCCGATTACTGTAGAATAGGTTTATGGAAATAATTGCTAAATGATGCAATCATGTAAGCAATAGAAACTTTGCTTACCTATGACTCCTGCTGTTGTTTTCTTCTTACAAGTAGAACTGTATCGTTGAAACAGTCTTAATGAAACATCAGCCGAAGTAAAAAACGTTTTCCAGAAACAAAAACTCATAACTGTCATTGTTTTTAAAGTGGTACTTAAAAATAAGTACACATTTCCTTCAAAGAAAACAAGTTGTTTTTTCCAACAGTAATAAATAAGACCCTTAAATAAACATTACGTAAAACAATATTTAACTCAAACACGTGTGGATGAAATATTATGAAAACACATTCATAAAATTATAAGACATCTAAATTTGCATAAGTAAATTGCTTCAAATTATGAATAGTGGTCTGCTCGTAGTTGGAAGGTTATGTTTATGTGTGGATGTCATTGGTTGCGCGCGCGCGGGGCGCTCAACGAGGATTAAATATAAATCGCAGATAATTTTCTTTAGTCAAAACTTTTATTTTGTAAAAATTTGCATCTACGATTCTGTGCTTCTTTGTAATCAATAAATTATTTTTTTATTACAGCAAATGTCATTGGTTGTCTCATGTAAAACTAAATTGACATCGATTGACATTGCCCTATCCGCTGTAATTGATAATTAATTTAAAATTTACAAAATCACTTCACCCTAGGTTTGTACTACGTACAGCCATGCCACTACTGTATTTTTTTTAATTAATGTCATACATTTTGACAATCACATCAGAATGACGGTTATAACAACTTTAAGTTGACATTTTGCCATGGATTTTGCTGAAATACCCCTAGAAACTTTTGCCTTAATTAGCAATTAATATTAATATATTGTAAGGATTTCACAGATTTTTTCGTTCTTTATTAAATTATTTTTTTATTTCTAAACGTTTAAACAATCTCACAATGCGATTTTTCACTTTTTTCAAACTTGCCGCAAATAACACAAACAATGTTAACTTTTCATTTTGTATCTCTTTGATAAGTTGCGGCTGGTTTATAAGTAATTAAATGGTTCTAGGGCTAAGCTGCCTAAAGCTCTCCTTCAGAATTTCAGAAGCAATTTTTGGCCAAAAAAATCACGACCGCTAGATGGCGCTGATCCAAATAATTATTACTACTTATAGTAGATTCATTAAATCAATTATAAACCAGCCGCAACTAATTTCATAGATAGGAAATAAAAAGTGGACATTTTCTGTGCTATTTGCGGCAAGTATACAATTTATCTTTTATCCGAAAATTTTCTAAAAGTACAGCTGATATTCTCTACTTACATGGTTTAATAAAATCGAGCGTATGGCACTACTTAGAACCTTAGAAGTGATTACTAAGTATAATTACTACATATAACTTCACGTATATCTTACACCGTGCCGCGAAAACGATGTAACAGGCTGTACTTAAGTAAATGAAATACTTAGAAACCGTCTGCTTTGCAACTTGTTGTGTGCGCGCTTTCGTGCACTCATATAGTCATATACGTGTTTTTGTGTACTCATGGCACTCATACTTGTTCTTGTGCGTTTTTATGCAGTACGATAAAGACCTAATCGATAGAAAATTTTTCGCTCTACTACATGCTGGGATTTTTATTTTCATTGTTTCTTTTACCATTAACGAGACAAACTCAAAATGTACCTTACCATCCCTTTTTCTTTAATGTCACTGATGGTTTATGGTCTTGAAAGTTCGCATATAATATTATTTGAGTATGATTTACAATATATTAAAAAAGTCACCATGTAACAAAACTTTTTAATTCAGGAGTAATTTGACTGGCCTATAAATTCCGAAGGGCCCACTTTTCGCAAGAATTTCTTGGCAAGAAAAATCGACACCGCTAGATGGCACTGATTGTTAAAAAAGCCTGAAATTAAATAGTAAGTGTACCTATAGGTATCCTCTTTGCCAACAGTGCCAACACTGGCTGTAAGCTGTAAGGGGGTAGGGTACTTTTTAGTTCAAAATGAGCAACGCTAGATGGCTCTAATATTAATTAATCTCGGGGGTCGGCGGATAAGTACTTGGATATTAAAACTAATTCTTCCAAGTGATTATTCATTTTGGTTGACAAACAGTTAGTTAATTTTAATAGTTCATCGATATTATTGCGAAACGGTATAAACGAATAAGTACTCGAGGATTATGGTGATAACAAGCCGAGTTTTGCTCAAGAACTCGCCCAAGTCATTGTACAGATATTTGCTGCGTGAATGCAAGAAGCTACCACCCGGTGCAAGTGAATTTTACAAACACTCCGTCACACAGGTACATTTTTTTTCCTTTAATTAAGTACTTTTTATAGTTATAGGTTCACAATCATCGAAAATATAATTTTTTTTTCTATATACGTCCTAACCTCTTTCAAAATTGCGTAAATTTGCGTTGCGTTAAATTTAAAATTGCGTTGTTTTTTTAGATGAGATTTTGAATTAAATTTCTTTGTTAGAGTGTTGTATCTATGTAAATTAATGATGGTCATTATCATGTATTTTTTTTTTTTTTTTTGCGACAGAGTTTCAAGCAGCATGTGAAAGAAACAGATCCAGACAGAATTCAACAGATCATGGAAAAAGCTCTTCTTGATGCAAAGTGGGTGATGCAAAAGGTATTTAAAAAATTTGAATGACTTTCTCGGGTAAGTATACCATGTAGATGTAATTGCATTTGTTTTTTTTAGTACAAAAAAGATTCATCATCTGATCCTCCCAAGAAATAATATTAGGTAATTGTTAAAAATGGAAGAATTTCATACTGTAGTCACCAAAGAATGCGGTGCAGGTGCTGAAAACTTTTGGAAAGCAATTGGGATATGGCTCAAGAGTCCTCATCTCATTAATCGTAGAATTTTAGCTTCCACTCAACTTGAGTTTTATAAATTAGAGCATGTTGATAGAACAGAAGTTTTTAAATGGTTTTTAAGTATTTTAGAAGAATTTTTTGTCGAGGAAAACGTTGAAAAGAGAATAGTTGATTCTCTAAAAAGACTGAACAATGAAAAAATTTCTGTTAATGTTTGTGATGACTTTGAAGATCTTACATTGTCGAAAATCAGAGAAAAGGCAATGTGTTTAAGGCTTGCAAAGCTACTACCTCGCCACACAAATAAATTTAATCAAACTCTGGAAATTTGTTTAATTGATGTAGAATCCGGCGCCGTTTCATATGCTCATCATAACTACTCTAATGCAGAAGAAAAAAAATCACTAGGTTTCACGCACCCATATCAGATAAAATATGAAAGTAACAATGTCTCTATTGGCGTGAAAAATTTTAATCAATGGAACGAGAGTGAAAATTTGTTGTGGCTAAAAACCTTTCTTTTCCCTAAATTGTTTAAATGGATTGAAAATGAAGATCCAAATAAAAGCTTGGTTTGTGGTTCTTTAAAACTTGTGTCATCTGAAAAGTACACAAACTTGTACAATAATTTAAAAAGGAAATACGGAACAGAGATGGTGAAAATATGGCCAGAAAATACCGACCCGTTAAAGTTTGTTTACGAGGATGTTGCTATTGCAACCTATTTGTTATTGTTATGGGAAATAGAAAGAGAACGGCTTGGTATTCATGAAAAACAATCGTTTTTGGATCTTGGTTGCGGCAATGGCTTGTTGGTGCATATACTTAACAGTGAAGGATATCCAGGATTAGGAATCGATCTTCGTAAAAGAAAAATTTGGGATCTCTATCCAGAAACTACAAAACTAGAGGTATTCATATGAAATTATAAATTTAAACAAATCTGTCATAAACATATTCTCACAATTTGTTTCATTAGGTGCGCACTGTAATACCATCTTCAAAAAGTTTGTTTCCTGACACTAACTGGCTAATCGGTAATCACTCTGACGAGCTCACGCCCTGGATTCCTGTGATAGCTGCCAGAAGTTCGTACAAGTGTCGCTTTTTCCTACTGCCGTGTTGTGCCTACGAGTTTAATGGCAGAAAATATCAGCGTGAAAGCTCCTCTTCTAGCCAATACACCGATTATATGCAGTATATTAAAGACGTAAGTGAGAAATGCGGCTTTAAAACGGACATCGACAAACTGAGGATACCGTCGACCAAAAGAATTTGTTTGATTGGTACTGATAGGTCATATTTAGAAGTGGAAAGTGAGATCCAGGATTTGAAAATTCAGGAGATGATCAATACGAGATGCAATGGGAGTCAGATTTCTGATGCTTGGTCTAGTGAATTCAAGCCACGAGAGTTGGTGGAGAAAGTGAGGAACTGCACTCAAATCGACAAAGGTTTGATATCAAATATAATTGACATCGTGGTTTCTTTGTTGTTACGTAAAGTCCTTATGATCGATTTGAGCGGTGGAAAGACGTGGAATGCAGGTGGCGAAGTTGAATTGCGAGACGTAGCCACGGCACTCGATTCTGATTGTCTAAAAAAACTAAAAACTGAATGTGGTGGATTGCAAACTTTGCTGAAAAACAACGGGCATATTTTTAAAATAGAGTCGGGAAAAGTCAGATTTCGCGTTCCAGGTAAGGATCGAGTAGGTCGGAATAAAAAGTTGAGAAATTCGAGTGTGTCGAGAAAAGTCAAGGCGTGTTGGTTTTACACTAATCACCCAGATGGGTGTACTTTGACTGATATCGAATGCGACTTTAAACATTGTTAATAATATTTATTACTATTGTTATTCTAGACTTTGTATTTGTAAATTGTATTAAAAATTTAAAATAAGAAATATATTAAAAAAGTCACCATGTAACAAAACTTTTTAATTCAGGAGTAATTTGACTGGCCTATAAATTCCNATATTTAAGCGAGAAAACAAGTTACCTGTATGAGAACTGATAGAATATTCTGAAAACTTTTTCATGAATGCGCTCTTTTGAGCACAGGTAATTTTTTCTCTTTCTGTTCTTGAAAGGTTGAAATCGGAACCGATATTATTTTTTTGATGAAAAAAAATTATTTTGTCAATAATATAACTTTTTCTTTTTGTCTTTATCTGGTTATGAGATTTTTGTCAGAGTTTTTCAATAGATGGGTGTTTTGTGTATTTTAAAACTTTTTTAGACTAACAAAAAAAAAAAAATTTATTACGAAGTGAAATTGTTACGAATAATTTTGGAAATTAGATAGCCTTGTTAACTATTAGTTAAATTAGAAATACATTGCGATAAAATGGAGATTCTTTTCGTATTTTGTGTTTTTTTAAGCAATAAAGTTGGATAATCGTTCCTAATCAGATATCTTCCCACAACGTTGATATTACATAATTAGATTTGTTATTCGATTATTTAAAAGTCAACGCGGTACTTTGATAAAAACTATGACCAATTTGCAAAATTTTGTCTCCTTTGTCTACCTAGGATTATTTTTTTAAACTTAAGAAATCGTTAATACTTAAAAAATAGTGAAAATTACAGTCACATTACAACAAAATTAAAAAAAAAGGCAAATAGAAATTTGTTCAACAGTACCTAATATAATTATCGTCAACGGATAAATTTGTACAATCAATGTAGAAAGGGAAGCAAATGTTATGAAAAATAACAGAGTTAAAATAACAGTAGATAAACAGAATAAGGAAGTTTTGGGCCAAACAAGTGATAGTAGTTTTTTTTTGTGTCGCTCGCAGTTTCTCAGTATCTACTTTCAAAAAAGTATGCTTACCTCACCTCGTGTAAAGATAAATTATATATTTTTTTAATGGGATGTCTTTCCCAGTTTATTTTGCAAAATAACACATACCTAAAAATTGTACTCGGAAGTCCAAGTGCTATTAACTAATGGCATACAATTACTCAACATATAAAAAATATTACTTAAAATTTTATGTAGCTCAGCCTATTCTTAAAAGTAATTTTTTTTTATACTTCTTAAGTAGCAATTTTATAAATAATAATTAATAGTAATTTTTGGGTTGAAATATTACCTCAATGTTTTAAGTTAAATAAATTATCTTTATTATTTAACGAAAAAAATGGCACTGGCGCGTTCGAGTTTGTAAATATCTTTTGACGAAAAAAATAAACAATCATTCATATATGGTCTTCGATGTAACTGTATAACAAAACGATTGTAAGTAAATATCAAAATACATTTTTATCCTTAACGATAATCCTTACACTTGTAAATTGCACCTTTAGCACCTTCGGGCATGTATACATTATAAAAACGCAGCGATAAAAAAATAGTTTGTTACTTCATAGCTCACTTTTTTATACATCTATATTATGCAAATAGACTATAAATAATTCATTGCCATGACGCTTATACTCGTAATGATTAAAATAAAAATCTCGAAAAGATAGTAATGGCATCAGTTTTAAAATCACGAAGACAAGTTTGAAAAAAAAAAATTAGCTAGCGATAGTATTAAAATATTTACTCTTTACAACGAATATTTAATCTTCAACAAAAATTGCACCAAGTAATTATATATCTACGATAAAATACTAACTAATTTCAGATCAAATATGAAAACACTCAAGATCCAGCTTTTCTTTTTTTTATATATAATGGCGCATAGAGTAAGGCACTTGTTAAAACTACACCATCAGCTCAGTAAATCGGCAAACGACATGTCGTCAAGCTCAAGCGATCTGCGGTCTTCGACACTTGAATCCAGCAGTTTCAGATCGTAGTGAAAGTACTGCGTCGCCCGACTCGGCGGACTCGTCTCGGCCTTGTGCACCCGCTTGACGTGGGTGTGCAAATTACCACTCTGGGCGAACGATTTGTTGCACTGGCTGCACTCGTGGGGTTTGGCCCCGGTGTGGTTCCTGTAATGCATCTGCAGCGTCGACTTCTGGCCAAAGGACTTTGCGCACTGGTCGCACTTGAAGGGCCGCTCGCCCGTGTGCGTTCGCTTGTGGCGCTCGAGTTGGCACGGCTTGGCGAAACTCTTGCCGCACATTTCGCACTCCCGCCTCGCCCCGCTGACCGGGGATTTGTCCGGATTGGCAGCGTTGTTTCTGATCTGCACCGTCGAGTCGACGCTGTCCAACTGCAGGACCATGTAATCGCTCATGGCGAGGCTTTTCTCACCTGGCAGCGGGTTGTTGGGCACCGTCGAGTCCGGGGACTCCATGTCGAAGAGTACCTGGGGCACCTCGGTCTCTTCGGGGATTTTTGTCTTTTCAAGGCCGTCCGGTATCGTAGACGTCGTCGTCAGAGTCACTTGATTCAACTCCGGGTCCTGGGTCTGTATCGTGACCAACCCGTTGGTCAATAGATACTGCAGGTTCGCCACCCACTGGTTGTTTTCACCGAGGGTCAAAATGTCGCCGTCCAGGAAGTCCGTGCTAAAAGTTATTTCGCTTGGTATCGTCAAGTCGTTCAGACTTTGATCGATGCCCATGTTTGGCTGCACCAGGGCGTCATCCATTGGATCGATCGCGTCGAAACTTTGTTGGGACTCGATTGCCGGCGTCTGCACGAGGTCGTTGTCCTGAAGCTCAATGGTTGGCTGGTCAAAGTCTTGCAGCGAATCGATTTCGAGCATCACGGCGTTGTCGACCAAATCCTTTTCGGCCAACTTTTCAACCTCGGCCGCCAGTAGCGAGACTCCCGTGGTTTTGCTCTTTGACTTGCGAGTCGAGGATTTTCTAGTTTTCGTGTGAGACAGGAGGTGTACTTTCCGGTGGCCTGAGGTGCGGAACTTCATGTCGCACATGGAACACTTGAACGGTTTGGACCCTGAAAGAAATGGAATGGATTCTTTTTTAATTATTTTTTTACGATCTACGCTAAATTTGATTGGATTTGCGATTGGCTTGCCTGTGTGTAGTCTCGAGTGAACTTTGAGGCTTCCTTTGGTCGCAAACATATTGTCACAAATTTGGCAGTGGAACGACTTTTTGCTGTTGTGTATCTTTAGGTGCGAGTCCAAGGTACACTTGACGGCGAAAGTTTTGTTGCAAAAATGGCACTCGTAGGGTCGTTCGCCCGTGTGTGTCCTCACGTGTCTGACGAGATCGCTTGGTTTGCGGAAACTTTTGGGACAATATTGGCACGTGTTGACTTTGTTCTTTTTCTTGCTACCGTCCTTTGAAAACGAAAAAATCAGTCTTATCCAGGCGTCTACTCCAATAGAGTCAAATTATTAATGCATTTTACGCTCCAAATGGTACGTACAACTTTGGCTTCCGATTCGAGTTCGGTAATGATTGTCTCTGCATTTTCCGGGTCTTTCAGTTTCAACTCTTTTTTCACATGCTCCTTGATGTGGTCCCTCAACAGTAAGCTCGTGTTGAATTCCTGGTTACACTCGTAACATTTGTGAGTTCTAAAACAAGCCTCTCGCGTTTAGTATACATGTATTCTCAAATTAGCAAAAAAAAAAAAAAAAAAAAAACTTACTCTTGAATCTCGTGCGTCTTCGCGTGCCGATTGAGATCCCTTTCGGACAATAATTTCGTGAGACAAACCGAGCATTGGAACTCGTTCTTCCCTTGATGGGTTTCCAAGTGGTCTTCCAAATCTTTGGCGCTGAACCCTTGTCTGTCGCAAATATGGCACTGTAAACTGTCTCCTTTGTTCGAACCGTCGCCGCCCTGTGGATCAACACCATCCTTCATGTCGAAGATCGAAGGGTCGTCGACCACTCGATCGATCTCACTCGTTGCGTTTTCATGGATGACGAAATTCAAATCAACGCCGTCGTCGATCATCGGCTGGGGACACGGTTCACTCTCTTGTATGACGTTGGACAGGATGTTTATCACGTTGGTGGAATCAGCTTGCACGATGCCGATGTTCATCGCGTTGTTGTTCTGCTCAAAATATCATCAACAAAAATAACTCAACTTTGCCACGTTGGAACGTCAGTGTGTTTGCGCATATGATTACCTGCAACGCTATTTGACTGATGTCGATATTGCCGTACTGAGGGTTGAACGCGCTGGGATTGACGGATGCGCTGACAGTGACCGGCGAATGCAACGTGGTCCCGTTTTCGTAAATGATACTCAACATCGGCTGCTCGCGCGACTCCACGTTTGCATCGTTTTGCGGATCAAGGTGCTTGACGACGTTGCCCAGTGACAAGTTCACCCCGAGACCGAACAACTGCTGGTTCAGCTTTTCTTCGATCTCTCGGATGCTCTCCTGCAATCGCGCGCCATCGTCGGTCAAATTTACCAGCCAACTGTACACTTACTCTCCAAGATTTTTTGCACTAAAAACAACACTCGTACTTACAGGGGAAATAGATTGGCTGCCGTCGTAGTTGGACAGGATCATCGAGCTGTTGTCTTGCGCCTGCAAAGTTTGGACCAAGCTCGCGTCGGTGCCATCCACCGCGGGCATGTTCTCTGTGGAAATCACGAGACGGAATCGTTGATCTGGCCCAAAGGTGTTCGAATTAAATTCCCTGGCAATACTCACGCGCTAACGATTGGATACTCGGCGAAGACGAGGTGACGGAAAACTGCAAGTTGTCCGCGCTTCGATCGTTGGAGGCAGTTGTTGGATTGTTCGAGTGCAAGGACGACGCAATGGCGAAAGGCAGTACAACTCTTTCGTCGCTGATGATGACCGGTTTGTTCGTGGCGCCAGTAGCACTTGGATCGGGCTTTTGTTGTGTTTTCTGAAGCTCCAGTTGCTGAAAACCAAAACAGAAAAGTAAACCATCTTGTATCACCGGTGACGGACAATTTGGTCGATAAACTTGGCAAACCTGCTGGGCGACTTCTTGTTTGTGCACCTTCATGTGTTTCTTGCAAGTGACCGACGATTTGAAGGTCTTGTTGCAGTAGGGACACATGATGGAGCGTTTGTTGTCGTGCGTCGTGTAGTGCCTCCTCATGCCGCTCAGAGTCGTAAATTTATTGTTGCAAATGCAGCACGAGTAGGGCCTCGAGCGGTCGTGGACGCGGAGGTGAGCCTTGAGGGTGCTTTTTGTCGAGAAGGCGCTGAAGCAAAAAAAAAAAAAAAAAAACCACAAAAAATGAATTAAAAAATCCCCTTGCATCAATGAGTATACAGTATATATTGTACCTGTTGCAGGTGTCACAGGAGAAGGGCCGTTCGCCCGTGTGTTTGCGGTAGTGTTGCTTGAAATGACTGACTTTCATGAAGGCGGCGGGGCACGACGGGCACTTGTGCGGCCTGCCCTTGCCGCGGGCGATGTCGTCGCGATACCGAGGCTTGGCTTGGACTTGCCCATTGCCCGTTTCCGTGAGCACCAGTGGCTCCTTCAGCACAACCTTATCCGCCAGGCTTTGCACCTCGGCGGACACTTGTTTCTTCGACGTTGGCCTCTCCATGCTCGGGAGGTCACCGATGTGCGCTTCCTTGTGGCTGTTTTGCTCCTCCATGCTCTCGTATCGCTTGTCGCACTTGGTACACCTGTGGCAGTTGCTGTGTTTTGGAAGGAAAAAAAAAAAAAAAAATCAAAAATCAAAAAACAACCATCGTTGACAGCTAGAGAATCCTTTCAACGTCGACTTACTCCATGTGGTTTTCAAAAGCCCTTCTCGAGTCCAGTGTCATGTTGCACATGGCGCACGGTACTTTGTCCGTCCCGTTGTGGGTGCTCGCGTGGTGCAGCAGCGTTGCCTTCAACGTGAACGATCTGTCGCATATTTTGCACTAAAAGCAACACTTTGAGCTGTGCAATACGCCCCCTCGCGAATCGTCAGTTATACAGATGATAGTTATATGGTTATTACCTTGTGAGGCTTTTCCTTGGTGTGTATCCTCAAGTGCCTCATGAGATCGGACGGCTTTTTGAAAGTTTTCTGGCAAAACGTGCACTCGTAGAACTTGGCGTTGTTGACCAATCGCTGCTTCAGTTTCACGTACTTGCTAAGAGAATAAAGAAAAAAAAGGACCAATTAACACAAGGGTTGAAATACACGTTGATATGTATGTGCAGAAAAAGTTGGTCGAACCCGTTCAAACCGTCGCTCTCCTTGTCAAAGATCGTGACGAGGGCCGTGGTCTCCTTGTCGTCGGTGACGACGAAGCCCTCCTTTCCCGATTCCAGCCCAGCGAGTCTCGCATCGGCGACGCACGACTCGAGATCGGCCAGCCCATCGATGACCCGGTCGACCTTGGCCCGCATGGCCTCCTCGTTCTCGTCGCCGTCGTCGTCCTCCTCCGTGGCGAGGTTGCTCCCGTCACCGCCGTGGACCCGCTTCACGTGACTGCTCAGGCTGCCCAGCTTCTTGAACGCGCAGGGGCACCGCGAGCACCGGTACAACGGCCTGCCACCCTCCTCCTTCAGCTCGTGCACCCGCAGCACGTGGGAATTCAAATTACCTGCACCCGAGCAATTAATAGAAGAAAAATCTGTCGACAAATGCACATCGGTATACCTTTTTGCCGGAAACTGGCGTGGCAGAGGGTGCAGCTGTAGGGCTTGACGTTCTTGTGCTGCCACATGTGGATCCTCACGGAGCCCTCCTGCGTGAAGCCTCGATTGCAGACGTTGCACTGAAAAGCGCCCGATACATCGTATATAAAAATCGTTCGATACATATTATTATTATTATTATTATTATTATTCATCGCCAATAAAGTGATCCAAAGAAACGAGGGGAGGGACCGACCTTGTAGGGTTTCTCCCCCGTGTGGACCCTGATGTGCCGGGCTAGCTGGCTCGGCTTCTCGAACACCTTGGCGCACACCTTGCACTTGTAAGCCGTGCGTTGCCGAACCCCGCGCTTCGTCTGCTTCGAGCACTTGACTTTCAGCTGAAAACAGACTCGGACGGGCCATTTTAAAATTACAGGCGCGCGTGGTCACTCGGATGGAAAAAAAAAAGGGAAATAAAAGGAGTGTACAACTACAATGACACGCGCTCGATGCTAATGGGCGAGTCGCCGGATGTTGTTTTATCGTTGGTGCACCTCCTCCTCTCTTTGCTGTCGCATCGAGGGGGAGGGTATATAGTATGCATGGTTATATATACTCAAAAACGGTTGATGGTGATTTGATCCTTGGCTTACCTTGTAGTGGTCGCGGAGGTGCTGGCGATAGAGGACGGGCTTGGTGAACTGTTTGCCGCAGACCCGGCAGCGCTTGCAAGCGTTGCCGGGCCATTTTTCGTCGTGCAAGCTCTGGTGGGCCTCGAGCTGGCTCTGAAACACGCACAGCTGTGGGCTCATTTGCTCGAGTTATGCGCTCTCTGGGATGTGTTTGAAAATAAAGGGAGGGTGGGGTGGGCACGTCTCGAGTTTACACACATGTAACTTATTGCACATCTTCAAACTGTTTTTTTTTTCTCTTTTTTTTTTTTTCATAAAAATTAATTTGAAGCTGACCTTGTAGTACTGGGCGCCGAGTCCGAGAGCCAAATGAAAGACCTGCGACAGGGCAGCCAGGAGGACAAAGTTCATGCACTCGCCCACGAAATTTTTCATCTTGAACGACTAGCTGTACAAACACTTAACAGTACCGACGCACTTTTCATTTCGACATTTTCGAGTACGCGCTAGCTTGGCCTCGTAAAAAAAAAAGAAAAAGAAAAATCATTCATCACACCGAAACAACGAAACACCAACTCTTGTCCCTCTTCAGCGCTCAACTTTGAAAAAAGTAGGTCTCGATGCACCGCGTCCAGGCGTGCTCGACTCACTGGCCGGCCCGCCGCGCTTCGTCTTTTTATCAGCAGTGGCAGCGGCAACTGCAGCATCATCGGTATATCATATGCACATCAGGAGCCACGCGAGACGGCAGCGTATACGACGTTTTTCAGGAAGTGCCGCGCCAGCCCCCCCTTGACTTCCCCTCTTCTCGGGTGTGTAATATAGCCGACGTCCGAAGCGCACCCGAGCAGCTACTCTTGTTTCTCAATTTTTCTTTTCTTTCCTTTTTTTTTTTTTTTTCCGAGTACCTACGAGCTACGGTGGTGAGTTTCGAGGGTCTGTGCCAGGAGCGGGATTTTTATTCGCACGCGGTACATTTTATTGGGCCAATCGTGTAAGTAGACTGTAAAACAGAAGAACGCGTGAACAACAAGTTGAAAATGAATAAAACCAACGATTGCCGGTGGATGCACGCGTTTAGCTGCGCAAAGCTCGGAGGACGCCCTGAAAACCATCAGAGGAAACGGCAAGTGCCCGTCTACCTAAATTCCATGAGTTTATCATCCGTATACACGTATATATGTATCCTATAGCTGCACATGTATATGAGTACGCGCGAGGAAGGCGGGAATTACGTAGTTTAAAACTAGTTAGCGCGAACCGCACAGCTGCTCCGGAGATCATATTTTATCTGCACGCAGCATCTCGCGGAAGGAGAAGGAGCTCGGCGCGATGGCACAAATGGCACTGTTTGTGCACTTTGGACGCAAAATTAACAGAGATCGATATAACGCGGTACGGTTGTCGTGAGAGCCATTCGCAATATGCCTATATTGTTTTAATTGGAGGAGCTCGAGTCAGCGCCGCTGTCTGCGTCTCCTCGCGGTCGTTGGCTCAGTGGGTCACGTGTGCACTGAACGAGAGGCAAGTAACTTTACGATTTCCCTGGGGGCCTTTTTTTTGGGAAATGTTAGAAGCCATGAGATTATCGAACAAAATGAAACGAAAAAAAAAAGGGGGGGGGGGAAGAAGCGAGATAACAGTCCCGCAGGAAGCCGGTGTCACGGGTGTATTTTGTGGTCCATATTTTTAAATCGTCCGGTTGCCTTTGACTCGCGTTATGGAGAGAAACGCGTTCCCTTCGATTATCTGCGCGTCGCATCTTCATTCACGCGCACCGAGAGGGGGAGGGGGAGGCGGAAGAAGCGAGAGCGCGTGGAGCGAAGAAAAAAAAATGGCACGCGGCTGACCGGTTCCTCGAGAAAGTCTTTCGCCGCGCGTTGCGCCGTTCGAGGGGTTATTGTACATGCTTTTCGTTTACGTCAAGCGGGCGCGAAAATTAATGTCGCTTCTCTTCCGTGTATGCAGCGCAGATTTGATTTTTCGCCCTACAATTTACAGGAAGCAGTTCAATAGAAGAAAAATCATTACTTTCGCGATGACTTTTTTTTTTTTTTTTTTTTTTTTTTTTTTTTTTCAACCAACGGCCCTAAATCGTCCAAAAAGGTCGATAACTTCGAAAGCACTATGAAAATAAGTGGCCATATGATACCCACACCGTCGTTAGCACGGGCGTACAGGGGGAAAAAATAAAGACGCGCGTCCGTGTTATACACACCCTGTCAGCGCTTAAATATATACGTAAGTACAGTATCCGCCGATGGAAAAATAGTCGTCCAATCGACGCGCGAGTCAACCACCGCCACACATGTGTGTACTATAAGTCTATGGTATACACGTACATACGTATGTATGTATACATACTTGGAGTAAAAGAAAAGCCGAACGCGCCCATAAGTTCTATTTCGGTTTGACGCGTTTGTACGCCACTACGTGTTTTAGTTTCTCCCCTGTAACAGCGAGCTTTTATCGCTCCGGTCGTTCGTGTATCCCTGATGTTTGTGCGCGCCCGGCTTCTAAATCGAAATCCGAGTTATTAACGAAAATGGTGCGCTATTTTAGCGCGCGACGTCCTCTTGCAAACACCTCGAATTACGAATCGTTTTTTTTTTTTTTTTTTTTTTTTTTTTTTTTTTTTTTCCACGGTGTCCCACCTACAACAATCGGAGTTTGCGAAAATTTCAGTGGATGCGTTACCCGATGCTACGTGAAACATTTGTCATCGCTGATCATTATACTGTCAAGGAATTTTTTAATTTTTTTTTTATTAAAAATTACGAATAACCCAATGGGTGCAAGTGTGTGGATAAGAATCGATTTTGTAACGAAAATTTTTGAATGGAAAACTGTAGCTCGGCGTGTAGTTGTTCCAAAGAAAACACGGCGAACACGTGTACACGGGCCGTTCAACTCTCCTATCGAATCGGTCGCCGTATCGTTTTTATGTTTTCTTTGTTTCTTTTTTCTTTTTTTTCCCCCCTCCATAAAAATACACTAGAAGTAAAAAGAAAAAAAGAATCTCGTCAAACCTCCGCTGCGCGAATCGACCTTTAAACTCCGAATATTTTTCGTCGCGGCACGAAAACAAGACGCGAACCCGAAAATTACTCTTCCTGCATTTGGCGATGCTCGACTACGTATGTTTTGTCATTCCCAGAAAATAGAAAAACAAAAAAAAAAAACAAGCGGCGAAGGTCGTCCCCTGGAGCTCGTAATCTCCGTCCTCTTGCTCCAAATGTGCGTTTGATAGCGGCGTAATCTCCAAGAGGTGGGGTGGGGACACTTTGACGCGACCAAACCATAACCCGAGGAGATTCGGCCGAATGTCGCGCACACGAGCGAGATCGTTTCGTCTCCCCCCGGGGCGCGACACAGCGGCAATTTAATCATTTCACTTGCACCGCGCGTGTACGAGTTGCAATTAAACTCCGTGCATCCACTGGTTGTTGGGTTTTCGAATTGAAAAATAATAAAAAAACAACAACAACTTACACTCGTCGCTGCACATTCATCCGACGCGCACAAACATAAGTGTACTCGTGAAGAATGAAAAAAAAAAAAAAAAAAAAAAAATTGGTACGTTTAGCGTGCACAGGACGAACGTATAGAAGGGGGAAAAAAATGAGGTTTGGTGTCGCGAGGAAAAGCGTTCGAGCGAGCGCTGGAAAGAAAAAGAGCTCGGCGCGGCTTTCGCGTCTTACCGATTGCGCCACTGTACTGCTGTCGGGGAGGAAAAGAAGCCACGCGCTCTACTCGATAAAACACTCGCGAAGAAAGAAGGAGATGAAGATGAAGAAGAAGAAGATCAAGTGGAGGCAAAGAAAAAAAAAAAAAGAAAAAAAAACGTTGAGGATGGTATACACTATACACAACCGATGTGTTTCATCTTCGCGCGTTGCTTATAATATATTATGCTTTTTTACTTACACGAGAAACTATAGTACTTGTATACCGTACAGTACTTATACGCGAAGAAGATGCGGAAATCAATGTTTTCGTTCACATAATATCAGCTGTATATATGTTATTTTTTTGGGACGTTCCGTGATTGTATGCCACGAGTACGTATATGACATTATATACACAAGGGCAAAACATTTTTTATCGTACGGAAAATAACAGAAACGTAAAAAAAGGTACAGGTATATACATATACATATTATACTCCGAGAGGAAAAGCCGCGTCATCGTTAGTACCCATCCTTAGCCGCGTCCTCGTTGTCCCTCCCACGTATGAAAACCATGTAATCTATTGTGGGCAAATTTTCTTCTCGCGCGACAATTACCATCATCTCTCACCGCGGCCCCATACACCTATATATATATAAAACCCAGCGGCAGCCTCCGCTCGCTCTATGCTTTGTTTTCTTTAGACAATACCTTTATACGCGCGAAAGGCTTTAGCGAGCGTAAATCACGATTGATCGATTGCCGCTGATTTGTCCTTGTGATTTTCTGCATTCGTTTCGTCAAACTAGATATATATAGAGAGGAGATCCATTAGAAATGTATCGAGGCTCCCGTTGTTTATGCTCCAATACGTACGTATTGGTGAACATCTGAAAATCTTCATCGCCTGTACATGGTCGACACGGATGAAAGGTTTACGAAAGAGGTCGGCGGTGCTCTAAAAACGACGTGCCAAACCGTAAATGAAAGAGAAAAGCATCCAAGACTCTCGTGCTCCGAAAAATCGCAAGGATTCAGGATGGAAAAGTTTTAACGGGCACATCATTGGTGGGAAACTAATGAAAATCGGCAATTACGAGCAATTGTTTATTGAATAGCTGAAAAAGCAATCAGCATCGCTCGGCAGGAGCCACGTACACGCACCCACTGGCAATTCGATATGGGGGCAAAAGGGAATAACGCCGCTACGAAGCGCTCCTACACCCACTAATTGTTCGCGCCGGTGAAAAAAAAAAAAAAAAAAAAAAATGCATCTCGCGCCACCTCTTTCACTCGGCTATTGTAATACCTACTCTCGCGTATCCTTGAGACGGCGTAATTTACCGGGTCATATATATATATATATATACGCGAGGGACGGAAGTGCAAATCTACGTAACGAGTGACACAACACGCGTACCTATAGGGAGGACTCGTCGAGTGTGCATTATTTTACTTTGCGCCACCTCCCAATTTCCCCTAAT